CTCCCAAGATCCCCCTCAGCCCTGGCTGGGGGATCCCACCCCTCCTCTCCATAGTGGGGGGGGGAGTTCTCATTGGGTGGGGCGTGGGGAACTGGCCCTCCTGCTTTGTTTGGATTTAGTAGGGGTGCAGGGTGAGGTGGGAGCGGGGCAGCTTTCCAAAATGAGGGCAAGTCACTGATTCAAGAACTGGATGACTGTTAAAAACCAAAATTCAACTGAGTACGTTTAAAGATGAAATTGGCTTTATTCAACGATTCATGAATCAGGCAGCATCCCATCCAGCGACTAGAAAGGAGCTGTGAGAAGCTGTACAAAACGGGAGGCGCTTATAGGCAAAAGGGGGCAGAAGGAAGGTTCTAGCAAAGAATGCATTGTTTTGGGTGAGGTCACCTTTCTTTGGAAGGGGTCTGTCAGGAGGATTACCTCACTAGTGCTGACCAGGTGATTTCAGATTGACTCCTTAAAGGCGACATTCCTGGGGGAGGCTGAGACTGCAGTGAGGTTAGGTATTAAGTCTTGGGTTGAGTGGCCTTAGCACAAGCGACTCTATTTGGGGCGTGTTGTTTCTTTTTTAACAGTAGTGAGATCCCACCTGTTGTAACCACATGGGAGGGAGGAGAGAGTAGCCTTGTCTAGCCCTGTGTCTTTTTGGTCTGATACTGGCCCTTACTTTCCATTCTCCCAGCCACCTGCGGGTGAGTTCAGAGGCCCCAACTTCCTCTGATACGAGTTCCCCATTCCTGGGAGGGTAACCCTACCCCCAATCCTTCTCCTCCCAAACCCCAAGCCTACCCTCCTGGAAGGGCCACATTCTCAGGGGCAGCTCCCTCCCACCAGGAGGGCCTTGGGGCCAAAGTCAGGGCACCTGGTAACACTGTGGGTCCCATCTCAGTTCTATAGCCCAGGCTTCCCCTCCTGTCCCTCACCCCACTTTCCCAGACCCTGGGGACATTGAGAGGGAACACTTGCTACTCTTTGTCCCAGGTGGGGTGCTGGGGTCCAGGAAGGCTCTGGAGTTGATGAAGCGGGAAGTTCAACCCGAGACAGGGTTTTCAGAGGGTAGGGAGCGCTGGGCTGTAGTTCTACGCGGGGCTCAGGGACGCCCTTGTGCATGTGTGAATATGTATCTTAGTGTGCATACAAGTCATTTTTGTATACCTGTGTATATGGGAATCTTTATTTGTAAATGTGCACAATCTGTGTGTCAGTGTGTATTTGTGTGTTGTTTAAGTGTGTGTACATTATATGCATCTCTGGGTATTTATGGATAGGCCTATATGTCGATGTACACCTGTGAGTGTGTATGTCTGTGAGCTTTGCACCCTTACACACTTGAATCTCTGTTCGTGAATCTGTGTGTACCTGTATGTCTTTGGCTAGTATGTTTGGGAGTGGTATATGGGCCAGTGTGTGCCTGAGCACATCTGTGTACTGGTCTATGTCTGTACATGTCTGCACAAGTGTGTTTATCTGTACAGGCATCTGAGGGGATGCGGAGTTTCAGGAACAAACAGAACAAAGGACCAGAGCACCAGACGTGCTTTGTTTCTAAGGCTGCTGGAGTTGATGGAACAGGATGGGCTCGGAGCACCCCAGGGGAAGGGGTGGTGAAGCAGCAGCAGGGACGAGTCCCTTGTACATGAGCAGGCCTCTGTCAACAGGATAGTGGGTGTTGGCATTGCCACGAGCCTCACCAATGCTGGGCCCCAGGGGCTGCCTCCAGGTGGAGACCTGTCTTCTGTAGAAGGTCTGTCCATCTGTCTTGGATGGAGGTTGGGTCAGGAAGCTCCTAATCACAGCATGTCAGTCTCCTCAACAGCATGGGAGGAGAGCTGCCTGGGGGGGTGTGTGTCAGCCCCCGCCCCCAGGCCCCTGCCACAAGCTAATCTCGATGTTCTGCTTCTAAAAGAACAGCAGAACCTGGCTGTGGGGGGTGGGAAGGATGAGCAGCTGGGGAAGCTCTGCATAGACAGCCCTGGGACTGGTATTTCAGCTGAATGGTAAACCCCCTTTTATCAGCTTCCGCGTATCTCCTTGATGGGAAGTGGGATCTAGCCATATCAGTAGCTCAGTATCCTGCCAGTCAAAACCAGAGATAGAGGGGGAGAGGGGAAAGGAGGCAGAGGTGGGGGGGAGGGGAGGGGGCTCAGAGCCCTTCAGCCTGAAGCTTGCATGAGGCAAGCCAGGGTAGATAAAATGTCCCTCAAACATCTTGTGCTATTATTGGTCCTCAACTTCAACCATTATATATTTATTCCTTTGGCTGTTTAAGGCCTTTCAGGATTGAATAGCCCTTGATTAAAAAGCAAATACTCTTAAAAGAAACTCCTGAGTGTGTTATTTATTAATACCTCTGGGAGATTGATTGGTAATTTGCCGGGAACAAGGTTTTGAGAGAAGGAACACAGAAGGGAAGGATGTTTGGGAACTGTCCGTGGGCATGGGGAGGCGGGTTGTGGAGCAGAAAAGCCATTAAAAAGGAGATAATGAAGCAGGGAGTGCTGTGTTCACCATTTCCTCTTCCTGAGGACTCAGGAAGACTATTATTTCCTGGAATTCCTTGTAGTAAAGTTGGGCTCTGCACCATGTGACTGCGTCTGGCCAGTGCCATGAGGTTCGAAGCGATGCAACCACTTCCAGGTCTGGCCTTTCGTGATCCCCTATGATCCACCCATTCGCACTTTCCTTGCCATGTGCCTCTGATGGCATAGCTACCCGATGGAGGGGGCCGCCTGACTTACTGTGTCATGTTAAACCTTGAGATTTTGCAGTTCACTTGTTACTGAGGCAAAACCTGGTTTAGCCTAACTAAACTCAGAGAAAAGACGGTGCCAACAAATGTCCTAATTTTTCCTAGGCAATGTAGCACAAAAGCCAAGATTGCATACTTGAGTCATAAAGCTCTGGGTCTGAGTCCCAGTTCTACCATATCAGTTTCTTAACCTTACTAAACCTTTGTTTCTTCTTCTGTAAAATGAGGGTTGAATTAGACAAATCCTATAGTGTATGGAGCCCATTGCTTGGCCATAGCAAGTTCTCACGAAATGTTAGCTTTTATGCTGAGTAATTAAAGAAGCAACGTAGTGTTAAGAATGAACATGGGTTCCGGTTCCAATTTTCACATATAGTAAGTTTCTTTTTCTATTAAACAGGATTAATGAAAGACCACAGCAGCCTCACCAGGGTGTGTGTGTGATTATGTTGGTGATTGAGCTGAGGACCCCATGAGGTGGCAACAATAGCGAGTTCGCTATTGTTGTTACTGCTGATATAGCCCTAAGTCCAGCACACAGAAGCGGTCACTTCCTTCAGCTGTGGGGAAGACAACGCCAGGCTCACACTCATGAGTTCACACAGCGGCTGGCAGGCCCAGGACCACCTCAGCCTGGAGGAAAGGGGGGGGGTTGGAGGAGAGGGTTCCTCCGGGACACAGCTGCCTGGGCCTCCGCCTCAGAGGACATCCCTGTGACCCCAGCCTCAGCCAAGCCTCCTGAGAGCTGGGTGCATGGGGGTGGGAGGTGCCTGTGGGTCTCTGGGATGGAGAGCACGGTGCTGCCTTCACTGAGGTCTGTTGGCCAGATCTCCAGACACTGCTGATTCCCAAGGCTGCCCCTGGGGAGGTGTCATCCCACCATCCTTAGGATGGGACTGGGAATGAGGCAGAGTGGGGGAGGGGCCCCGTGTGGGGGAATCTTACCCCTTCGCCCCCTGGGGTGGGGGTGTCACTGGGGTGGATTCTTTGAAAGTGCCCACAGCCCTATCCTCCTAAACCGCTCCCAGAGCCCCCTCACTTCCCCGCACCACTGGGGAGGGGCCAGC